GGCTCCGATTCACGATCCACGAATTCCTATAGGATTCTAAGAGTACCTAGATCAACATACTTCAATTTGGAAACAATCTAACTGTTAGAACCTATCGAACTCAGATAACGCACAATATGCGAAGATCCATCTGATAGTCAAACGACGTCCAAATTAAATTCCGTAAAATCCTACTCACTCGTGACAACCTAAGGATCTCATCATGATAAAATCTCCACACCAACGCTCTCATTTCCTACCCTAGTTTCTTCTCAAGGTCAGGATCACTTTATTCAACTACCACAAGGTCCAATTCGCACGGGAACTGGCCGGAATTTCAAATTGAAAGCCGGCCAAAAACCTAGGTTTTCAATTCGGTTCCCAAACTCAAATCGATCCAAACCTAAGCAACAGTAAGCTAGAACACGTAAAAATGAGAAGAAACCTCACCAATTTTACCTGAAACGGACGGCGGAGGCGGCGGCGCAATGATCGGAAAACTCCAGTTCAAAACAGTCGAAACTGACGTCGGTTCTCGTGTTTTCCAGTGGGGAAATTGGGTGGGTCTTGAACCGGACTTCACGATGAGTTGAACGGAACCAGGCTCGAGGGCTGAGGTGGTCGGACTTGGCGGCTGGGTAGTGGTTTCCGTCTCGGTGAACAGTGACAAGAGGAGGGGTTCGCGCGCAGAGAGAGAATCGGGGGGGGGGGGGGGGGGGGGGGGGGGGGGGGTGTGGGGGGGGGAGATAATTTGCTCGCCAAAATTTCATTACAACTCCAATTTAAGCCTACCGCATGTCTACGGATTCGTCTCAGTACCACCTATGCAACCAAACCACTCGTGGTCCCAAAATCCTTCCGGATAAGAAAATGACCAAAATTACCCTTAACCCAAGGGTAAATTCATAATTCACCTAATTTAATTAAAATAGGAATAAATTTGGAGTCGGGGTGTTACAACATAAGCTGGAGGTGGCACCATTCCTTGGTTGCTTAAGGGACGTGTAAACACATAAGGTTGTTGCCTTGCTATCCAAGTTCTAGCTGGCTTTACTTCATCAAAATATCATCCCAATACTAAATGTTAGCACTTATCTCTAACCTCCAAACATATCAACCAATGATAGACTGATAGTTGCCGTCTTTATTCTAGTATAAATAGAGAGTTTGCATGTACAAATGGTTTACTACATCTAGAGAAGGGCATGCATAGCTTGCATGAGAAAAGAGAGACCAACAGTGGTAGAGAGAAAAAGAAAGAAAGAGTGGTGATAATATTCTTGGAAGAGTTAGAGGTCGGAGCTTGTGTTTTCTTAACTTAGAACAAAGGCTTTGGTATCAAGGTAGGGGTTTCTTGGGAGCCTTTACGGGGATTGATCTAATTAAATTTTGTGAGTTCAGCTCTATATTATGTGTGATATTATATAATGTTCTTGTATAAGATATTTACGTATTGTGAGATATATGGATATGTGAAATGCATAATTATATCATGTCATGGTAATTGGTTGGAATTTTTGGGTTGAGAAAATAATGATGGAAAAGAGGGTAATGAGAATAGTCTTTTGTGTAGTTGAGTCTAACTCTTGGCAGGTACCAGGTCTCAGTGATCCCACAGTGCACATGGTTTTTATTGGGTGATTCGGGACTGGCGAAAGGGAGTTAGACAATATGACTAACAAAAGGGGAATTATGAGATGATTGAGATGGGTGTTAGTTCATATAAATGGGCATTCAGGACCAAGTGGTATAAGCATGGTATGAGACGTACAGGTCTGCTTGTCCAGTTATATGAATTAATGGGAATAGATGAAGAGCATTCATTCATGCATTATTATTAATAACGTGATATTTGGTTGTGTGATTGCATGTGTCACTTAATTTAGTTATATCAATTTACTGTGGTAATGTCTCATGTTCCTACTGAGCTATGGTTGCTCACCCCTCAATGTGTTTAATTTTTCAGATGAATTAGTGGGCAAAACAAGGACTAAACTAGTTGAGGCTGAATTAGATGAGAGTGATAGAACTTTATTTATTAATTGTAAAGTTGTAAGATTTTGGCGATATTTTTTTTTATAAGAGAAGTTTATTTTAAACCCATGTTTCGGAATTTATTTTATTTTATTTTTATTTTTATTTTTCTCACGCATCGGGAGCGGGATTTCCACCGACCCCCGGGTCCGGGGCGTGACACACCTAGCCAAAACCGGCCACCCTAAGAAGTGAACACTAGCATCCTTCCTTCCTAGGTTGCAACATATCCTTCATCTTCCTTGGTGTGGTAAAGTTAGAGATTACCTATATTGGTGATTTGGTGAATCTAAAAGGTCTTCCATAAGGTGATCAACTCAAAGGATGTCAACCTTGAGTAGTGCTTTAAGGGTAAAATTTATACTCTCTTTCTCTTAGTCTAGAATGTCTAGGAGTGGAACAATCTAAACCAAGCCTCAAGATACTTGGGGTTAGTTATGTTAAAGCTCAAAGATTAAATTTAAAGCTTCTGTTGCCTAAAGGTCACTTGTAACCTTATCTTTGTGGCTAAATATAATTAGAATTTAATGTTTCCTTTAGTCCTTATATAGTATAAAATATCTGAACATGTGTTGGGGGGCCAACATATAAACCAAATAAGACATTAAAAAATTTCAAATTTTCAACCTTAACAATGTTTGTAAAAATAAAAGGCCGAAAACAATTGTTTATTCAATTATGTATCAAAATAACATTCGTCGTTCTTTCATATCTCGAAAACCATTAGGAACAAAAATTTACTGAATGCTAAAGCCATTTGTAATTGAGTCAATGCTAAACTTTGCTTCATATAGGAACAAAAATTTAAATCTCAATCCTTTTTTATTTGGGTAAAAGTCTACTTCTTATTTGATAAAAGAGATTTTTTGAAACTTTATTTGATTGGCTACTTTTATTTTTTATTAATATATTGGTGGGCCCAAAATTACTTAGTCTTTCTATTTGAAATC